TGCATGCAAGCTTCGTACACACAAACATTTCCTGGTTTCATTTCTACACTACAAAGTAAATGTAGTGTTTTTATGGCTAATCTTTAGTCTAAATTTCAATTTGATGACAAAATGCATCATTTATGAAAAACAATTACTTAAGTGTATCTCCTAATCAAATATGTTATCAATTGTTTCTCACTAAAATATTGGGCTATTCACAAAAGCGAGAATTGTTGGGAATTCAAAGTAAATTTAAAATTTTACACCAAAATAACTTAACTGGAAGCTCACGTTAGGAAAAACAAACAAACCTGTCAATGAATGTGAGAATTGGTAGTATATATAAAATATCCCTATAATATATCCCTATAACACCCAAAAAGTGCAACACATCTAAATAAATAAATCGATAAATCAATAATAAATGTAGCTTTTGTATACAGCTTCCCACAATCACTTCCCTGTAAGTGATCACCGCGAGCGGCGCCATCTGGTCCCTACCGCCGTGCTCCAGACTGACGGTGTTTCTGACCTGCACGCTCCAGACCAGCATCCTTATATGTGTTATAGTGTTAAGAAGTGGAGCAATGTTAGAGCTAAAGGACAAAACCCCTTTCCCACATGCAATCAAGTAATAAAAAAATAAATGTATACTTATATTGCTTGTTGCTTAATATCCCAATTCAAGCTCAGCATATATGGGAAAAAATATATGAAAAGGATCATAGAACAGATCTGCATGAATCAGTGAATATTATTGAATTCTATAAACATTGAATTAAATCAGCTTAATTAGCTGGATGAAAGTTTATTACAGTATTGCCACAAATTAAAAACAGAAGATAATAATCAATACATAACAGGCTATAAAAAGTAATAAAAGAATGATAATAATAAAAACATAAAATACACCTAAATTCACTGTTTAGTTGACATATGTTTAGCAGATTACTGCTTAATTGATGCAACAGTGAAGCCAAACACTATCAAAATGTATAGCAGGTTACTGCTTACTAGATGTGGTGGTGAGTATAACGGTGTAAATCCGTTTACCCACAAACAGGTTTTCCCGCACTGGGAGATGTCTCCTGTACCAGAAGATGGCTGATCATCTGTGGGGTGCTTTTTTATTTTGTCCGGATGGCGTGTGGTCTTGCTTCTGCTTTTTTGAAATGCCCGGCTTCTGAACAGGCTCCGCCCCCTTATTGACGTACTTCCGTATCTACGCGTTTCTCCGTTCACAGACGGCTTCGTCAGGACATAGATAAGGAAGTACGTCAGATTTAATGCAATGTTTATAGAATTCAATAATATTCACTGATTCATGCAGATCTATTCTATGATCCTTTTCATATATTTTTTCCCATATATGCTGAGCTTGAATTGGGATATTAAGCAACAAGCAATATAAGTATAAATTTATTTTTTTATTACTTGATTGCATGTGGGAAAGGGGTTTTGTCCTTTAGCTCTAACATTGCTCCACTTCTTAACACTATAATTTCTATTTTTTGTATGTGGTGAAGGGATCACTTTGAAGTGTGGTAGCAGGCAATTAAAGAGATACTGTGTAATACACAATTGTTAAATAACTCTACTTTACCCCTGTAGAACTGTGTATATTAAGCGCTCCAGTATTGTAAGTTTTTTCTGTATCCTTATATGTGTGCCAGATCCGGTCATGTGACTCGGCACACAGTGATGACCTCAGAGACCACAAGGGAGGGAAGAAATAATACAAACAGATATACACCCCAAAAAGGGAAGTATAAGATAGAGGGTGGTAATACACAAAAAAGGTACAAAAGGGGCGGAGCTTGACTAGCAAGCTGACAGGATGTCAGGACTCCGCATGAGCACCTGCTGTAAGGGCACAAACTATGCTGCTACCTCAGGCTACTACGCTGCGATTTCCCAGCAACGAAGCTCACTGGAATGGGTAAGCCTGTACGAATCCAGCAACACCTCACATGACATCCGGCAGCAGGTTGGAGCCTACCAGAGGAGACGAGGGAGAAGTACGGCTGCCTTTCCGCTCGATGCCAAAAGCCACATGCGAGCACAAAACGCTTCCCGCCCCCCTCCGGTGAACTGGTTTCCCAGTCCCCGCCAGATGGAATACCTCAAACCCCACACCTCTCGACGGGTCCCACAATCTCATCAAGCAACGTGATAACGGGGACCTCCAAAACGGCGGACGCATCCGACTCTGCTATAGGGGACAAGCGGAGGCGAAGACAGGCCATGCCATGCCAGATGCCAGCGGACAAGTAAGACACACAATTACAGTCTTTTTTTACCGCTTCTGGGCCAAGCTGCTGATATGCTTACAGCCAACGACGGTAAACCGCAAACCATCCACACGGGATAAGTTTAATGGCGGGCGGAGGTCTGGGAAACCTCTTCAAGACTCCCGCACTAAGGGCCCTCCTGGGCTGAGAGCAACAGGGGGCGCACCCCATAGGTGCCGGCAGGGCTGCCATCAGAAATTTTGGGGCCCCTGACAAAGCACAAGGTCTCCTACCTAATCCGCTGTCAATGATGCACGACTGAATGTGGTGTGTATAGTGGAAGTGAATTAGAATGTGTGTAATGGATGTAATGTTTGTGTGTATTAGATACTGTTTGTGCAGTGAATGCAGAGTGTGTGTTTGTGTAGCGGATGCAGTGTGTATAGTGAACGCAGAGTGTGTTTGAGTAGTGGATGTAGTGTGTGTACAGTGATGTAGTGTGTGTTTGCGTAGTGGATGTAGTGTTTGTGTGGACTAGATGCAATGTGTTTAGAGGATGCAGTGTCTGTAGTGGATGTAGTAGTGTGTGTATTAGACGCAGTGTCTCTGCATAGTGAATGCAGAGTGTTTGAATGTGTGGTGGTTGTAGTGTGTATAATTAATGCAGAGTGTATGTCAGTGTAGTGGATGCATTGTGTTAGTGTAGTGAATGCAAAGTGTGTGTCAGTGTAGTGAATGCAGAGTGTGCGTCGGTGTAGTGAATGCAGAGTGTGCGTCGGTGTAGTGAATGCAGAGTGTGCGTCGGTGTAGTGAATGCAGAGTGTGCGTCGGTGTAATGAATGCAGAGTGTGTGTTAGTGTAATGAATCTAGAGTGTGTGTGTTTACTAGTGTATGTATGTAATGTAATGAAAGATATTCCCCCCTCCCTGTTTCTTACCTGGTTCAGGGAGGGGGGAGATTCCATCCCTGGTGGTCTGGTGGCATGGTGTATTTGCAGAGGGGGCCCAGCGGACTGCAGGAGCACTTTACAGATCTTCCCTCTCTCTAACTCCCGCGAGATGTGGTGTGCGCGCCACGCGGAGCGTTGCCATGGTAACCCGTGGCAACGCTCTAACGGCCTCACATCTCGCGGGAGTTAGAGAAAGGGAAGATCTGTCCGCTGGGCCCCCTATGCAAGTATAGGGAGCCGGGGGGCCCGCGGCTGCACATATATATAGCGATCATCGCTATATATATGTGCAGAGAGTAACTGTGGGGCCCTGGACTTCCAAAGCAGGTTGTCACCCCCTGATGGCGGCCCTGGGTGCCGGCCACACTGGCGGAGGACAACCAGTATCCAGCATCGACGACCGGTTAAGGTTAACAAATTCCCCCGCACCATCTTGAAAGGGACGACCCTGGTCCAAGACGGATCCCAGGCTCGTGGCAGGAGGGCACCGGCTCTCAAGCAGCACCGGGGCAGAAGGAGAATCTCACCTCTACGACATCCTGACTCTCTCCCACTGTGACGGAACCCCCACGTGAGACACTCAGCTGGACAGAAATCGACCTCCTGCGGTCACCGGGCCCATGGCAGAAAGGTACAGACCCCATCGCAAGCCAGGGGCTGGAAGATTATCTCACACCGATTATGCAAGGCCACCCACCCTCATTAACTGTACGCAACGGGTCCTGAACACGACCCTGGTACACCGAAGGACTTCGGGATGCCCCTGGCAGGCATCGGCTGAACGTGATACCTAGGCCTGAGAAATCATCACCGCTTACACGGACGGTTATCAGAGTCCCTTACTTACCAAGAGTACAAACACAGTGCAGTGATTTTTCCGAACCTGCCACGGAACTTTACTTAAGTTCCTTGTCTGCATTTATATTCTGTGGGACAATATGCCTGCTCATAGTATTTATGTCTCCTACCCAGTGGTTGTAATGGTATGCCACCTCTCAAGGGCATAATGCACTCAATATATTTGTTGGGTTTATCTCTCGTTATGCAGGCTTAGGATGTGCTTGTTGAATTGCGTCACTTACCTTAATCTGTTATGCCTAGAGGGCCCTCTCGGTTTTAAGCATCAATTTGCACAGGAACATAAGCTTGAATAGTATAAATCTTAGCTTGTTTTAATTTCAAGTATCGCCCATAATGATGTTTATGCTAGACAGAGTTAACGCAGTGAAGCAAGTCCAATCAGTAAGTCTTCTTGCAGGTAGGCTACCTGTTTAACCTAACATTATAAATCACTAAGTGAATGCTTATGCCTTACCTACCTTGTCTAGTTTCACCTATTCAAATTTGTCTTGTTTTATCTTAGGCGTACACCATTATTACTTTAATTAGCGTTTTGCCCATCATGTCTTGCATTTTTCGACCTCCTCTTTAATATTTCCTAGAATATCTTCTTTTTTTATTTTTTTAAATTCTTAATTTTTTCTGTGCATCAAAGCATTAACATAACTACATGCGATACCACGACAGCAAGGTCAAGTTAAATAATAACATACATAATGTTGTAATGCATGGCATGTATAAACTTTGCACATTTTTAAAATGTTGGGTGGAGATAAATGTAGGTTAAACATAACATGTCTAGATTAACGATTAGAAGAGAACTTTGCTATACATACTCATAGACATGGTGAGAAATGATATGGTAAACATGCTTTGTTTACGCTTAAGGTATAATGTGTAGGTTGCGAGATGAGAGATCATAACAGTAGAAAGAAAAGAAAATATAACATTTGCACGTCATTTAGCATTACTGTTTGCTTTCTGCTCTCCATGGGTGTCAGTCCTGGTCACACAGTTTAACAGGCTTAAGCTGAGGCGTGATGGGCCTGGCGCTGACCTGTCTGGAGGCTTTGTGTAGAGAGTCTCTATTAGCCGACGCCGTCTCTTTTGCGAAACAGTGAGCATTGGCTGGTGTGGTGTTGAAGGCTGCAGCAGCGGTGGGCGATGCATCCGGGTCTTCGCCCTTTTGGCCTCCAGCCCCGGTGGGCTCTGTGGCTTGGGGGTGTGTGGGTCGCATGTCGCTTTGCCCAAGGGTATACTTCCCTGTCCCCGCTGCCAGTTGCCTCTTACCTGCCGTCCGTGCAGGTCCCTGAGTGATTTGTGCTGCTCTCATGCGGTCTCTGAGTTGTGCCCAGAAGCAGCTGAATATTGCGTTCAGGCGCTGTGCGGTGTCCTGTAGGATCAGCGTTTGCAGGAGCTGATTCAGCATGGGCAGCGTGTTATCACCCGCCATCTTGGGGGAGCCTTGTGGGCGCCAACACTGATTTATCTTCGTTTCACATCTTGGTGTGACTGGTGGCTCCGAACACACCGTGTGGACTGGGATGACCCCCGTCGGTCTGGGGGAGGGGGGGGTAGGAGGTGAGTAGCTTGGAGGTTCTCTCTGCAGGGTCGCCCGCGAGGAGAGCGGCAGCCTCTCCCCGACAGGGTCTCGAGTAGGCCTCTTGGTGCGGGCGCCGGTTCCCGGTAAGTAGCAGGTTAATCTGGTATCCGTTGTTTTGCCCAGGTGTCCCCGACTGTGCCGTCACCCTCCAGGTGCTGTGCGTGCCCGTTTATTGGGGTCTTTGCCCCAAATCGTGCCATCATGCACCTTTTCAAACATACTATAGTACTTGTCTAGCTATGAGGCACATGAGTAGAGGTTTAAGCAAGCATGAGACTAATACTACGATATAGACTTCACATGATAGACATTTGTATGACAGTGCTGAAAGAAGCAGGGAGATTAATGCTTCAGTGGGGCTTGCATAGAGTGCGTACTCTGACATTTGATACAGTGCCTCTTATGTGAGAGAGAGTAAAATAAACATGTGTAACTGAATTAAAAAAAAAAACCTGGGGGCATGGCCTGAACGGCAATGGAGTAGGATGCTTTTCCTACCTGCTCCGAGGCCCCAGCTCACAACTGCACCCATTAACGAGCACAGATCAACCCGAAATGGGTAAAACCACGCGGCTAAACACCCCGGGCCCTTCGCAAGCGGGCTCGTCGGGTCGCACCTCGGGCCCCATGGACTGCTTTGATAGCACGCCGCAAGACACGCCGTCCGTCCAGGCCGCGGCCAAAATGGCGCCGGCCTCTCCGGATGCAAACAGCGACAGCCCGATGTAGGGCTCAACCAGAGGGGAATCACTCACCCAAATAGCAGCTTATGTGGCCACAATCACAGCCAACAAGCTATCCCATGCAGACAAGGCAGAGATGCTGGCAGAAATCATGGAGGTGAGGAGGGATCTGACTGCCCTAGAACACAGGGTGGAGGCCCTGGAAGCTGATCAGACCCAGAATGTGCAGCACCAACAAGCCACTGATACTGCCACCACCAGACAGGGCAATGTCCTGCTCGACCTCAGGAGTCGCCTGGAAGACCTGGACAACCGCGGGCGGAGTAACAATATCCGCATAAGAGGCCTCCCAGAAACCGCGGGGAAGCACTACCTGAGCTTCTAACAGGCCTGTTCACCCACATCTTAGGGGACAGAGCCCCGGATGACTTTGGCATTGAGCGAGCTCACAGGGCCCTGCTCCCTGCATCACCAGAAGGGCCCCGAGAGATGTGATTTGCTGCCTGCTCTCCTACGTCTTAAAAGACGACATGAGAGCAGCAAGGAACCTGCAGAATCTCACCTTCAGAGATGCCCAGATCTCTCTGTTCTAGAGTCTCTCTGTCCTCACCCTTGAGGCTAGAAGGACGCTACGCCCGCTAACCACCCTTCTCGGGAGCGGTGGATCCAATACAAATGGGGCTTCCCCTTCAGCCTGCAAGCAAACGTGGGCAACACCTGGCAAATTGTCCGATGGCCCGCCGATGTCCCACGCTTTCTACGAGCCGCAAGCCTACCCACAGTAACGGTCTCAAATTGGGTCCTGGAGCGGCAACCACAATGCCCATGTGCTACTAGCGAAAGACCAGGCACGGGCCTCACGGGTGGGGGGTTCCGGTGGGGCGGCCCGGATAGCCCCAAAGAATAACAGAGTCCAGCAAATACAGATCCACTCCTCACAAACCAGAACCTCAGCCATCGACTTACCACCACACCAGAGAGTCCCTTGGCCACTACTAAGAGGCGCTACACAACATCATGGACGGATCACTCACCAACTCTCGGAAGCACCCCCAAGAGACAGACACCCCGCAACAGCATGATTCCCACACCTCCGGACACTCTACAGCATCTCTGGGTACGTACTTCCCCCCCTGGCTCCTGCCCACAGCACTGGGAACCAAACCACGATAACCGGGGGTAAATCCACCAACGCAACACACCCGTGGGGTGGGGGATAGGCATGGGAGAGGGATCGCCGTGTGAAATCAAGTTAGGGGAGAACCCTGTTGAAACAGTCCCTGGAACACTAGCCACGGATTCTTTTGGGAGTGTGGGGTAAGGGGGGGACCGGGCAATACTGCCATACCCGGGATGTAATTCCCGGCAGGGGGCTTGAACTTAATAAACAAGCCCGAAGGGATCTACTGATAAAGCCGTTCCAATCCCTAACGTGGCGGCCAAAGGTACTTTTGTTATTTACTAACGCTCCAACCGAAGCCAGCCAAAAGGGGGTAGAAAAAGATACCATGGGGGAGTGAGGAAAGGACCTTGTTTATGAACGCTGCCTGGTTTATAATGTTTGCAAAGTTTTTCAATGTTATTGTTACACATGTTTGCTTGCACATAGATGTAGGAGGGGAGCTACATTGATGGTGGGTAGGGTCCCCGGGGTGGCCACGAAAATTAGATAGATCAAGGAGACGCTATGATAGGTGGGCTGGGTGCCAAGGGAAAGGTACGACTAAATTTACTGTACGACCTAGACTGGAAAGACCACCTACCCCCCGTAACTGACTCATGCTGTACATACACTCGGAGGCCACTGTGGTGACACACCCCTAGGGGATTGGCCACCAGAGGGCGACAGAACCCGAGACGAGTCTCAGTTGCCTTTTTCCCGGACAGACTTCCCTTCCCCGAACACCGGACGGACTTACCCCCCACACTCCAAACCCTGAGGCACTCCCCTACACCCCCTTCCCTCACAAAACTTTGATAGGGATGGCCTCCAAATATGAGCCGGCACCACTGACTCTGTGGTCCAATAACGTGAGAGCCTAAACATCCCCGAGAGGCGATCCCAAATACTCCGCACCCTCTGGACGGACTGTGTCTCGGTGGCATTTCTACAGGAAACCCACCTGAAGGGCACAGATGCTCCCACCGTGAAAAACGGATGCTTCCCCACGAGGTTTTATACAAACCACCCAAACAAGAAGAAGGCCGGAGTAGCTATCCTATTTTCCAATAATGTACCATTTGTCTGCATGGAGCAGAAATCAGATCCCGGGGGTAGATACCTATTCGTTAAGGGAACCATCGCACAGCATACCTACACGTTCGCTTGCTTGTACTCCCCTAACCGAAACCAACACGTTTTCCTGACTAAAACACTGGCTCTACTAAACAAATTCAGAGACTGTCTTCTGATAGTAGCTGGAGACCTAAACACACCCCTGGACACTAAATTAGATACTTCCAGAGGGGAATGCTCTATACCAGATCATTGCATACGCTCAACGAGAAGGGCCCTGGCTTGGAGTGGCTTGGCTGACTGCTGGAGGGTGGCAAACCCGGAGGGTATGGATTACACCTACTATTCGGCTGTGCATCAACGCTACAGCCGAATTGACTACATCCTAATAGCACAAGAAGCCCTACCCCTACTCCAACGGACAAATATAGGGTTAATTGTAGACTCAGACCACGCTCCAATTACAGTACAAATCCAGTCTCCTCTACACAAACCCGCAGAACGGCAGTGGAAGCTGAATGAGAACCTATTACTCAACCTAGAAGGCACGGAGCCAGCCAGGCAAACACTGACACAATATTTTGACACTAACAACACCCCAGAAACCCCACCCCTGACCGTTTGGGAGGCACATAAATGTGTCATTAGAGGACACCATATTAAGATATGTACACAGCGTTAAAAGGAAAGCACAAAACAACTAGCCACGTTAAACACACAAATCACCACACTGGAACAGGCACACAAGCAAAATCAGGAAGAGGACAAGGTGCACCAACTGACGGAGCTTAGAAAATCCGCTCGGCACTTCTTACCCCCGAAATGAGGGAGGACCTAGAGCAACCCCTCACGTTGGAGTAATTGGCTGCGGCACTAGAACTCTCCAAAACCCACAGAGCACCAGGCCCTGATGGTCTCCCACTGACATATCTGCGTACATTTCGAGACATCCTATTACCAAACCTCCTACGAGGTCTTAATGCAATACAGGAAGGGGGCCTTTTTCCCACTGACACATTGGCGGTCATAGTTACGGTGATACCTAAGGAAGGCAAAGACCCGGCGAACTGCGCCAGTTACCACCCCATATCCCTGCTTAATGCGGACCTAAAGCTATTTGCTAAAACCCTAGCCCTGAGAATCGCGAAACACCTACCGCACCTGGTCCACTCAGACCAGGTCGGGTTTATCCCAGTCAGAGAAGGTAGGGACAACACCATCAAAGCCCTAAACATCTTGCACGTAGACCGGACGCACCGTCGGGAGCTCCTTCTACTCTCGACGGACGCCGAAAAAGCCTTTGACCGAGTGGACTGGGTATATCTGGAGAACACACTTACACACATAGGATTCGGCCCACACATGTTGTCCTGGGTGCTTTCCCTATACACGAAACCAACAGCATGGATACGGGGCAACGGGGCAACGTCCGCCCCCTTCCCTATCTGGAACGGAACCCGCCAGGGATGCCCGCTGTTCCCCCTTCTGTTTGCCCTCTCCCTGGAACCATTCCTGGGGGCGGTCAGACGGAACGAGGGAATCAAGGGATTCTTCAGACGTAGAGAGTAAAGAGCAGCTGCATACGCGGATGACATGTTGTTCTTAATCACACAGCCATTGCTCTCACTACCCAACCTCCTTGAATCCTTCTGGACGTTCGGTATGATTTCTAACATTAAACTTAACACTGATAAGTTGGAGGCCCTCCACCTACCTTTCCCAAACGACCCCTCACCGCACATCTACACCCAATACCGATTCAAGTGGTGTACCACTAAACTGAAATATTTGGGGATCTGGTTACCCAGACACGTCCCAACTATACTTCCTAAACTATCACCTGATGCTACAAGCATTACAGGCAGACGTGAAAAAAATGGACCCCACAATTTATTTCCTGGTTTGGATGCATTAATGTAGTCAAAATGAAC